CTTTTCTTTCAAAACCACGCAATTAAGCATTCACCAACAACCATATCACTGTCAATTTAAATAAAACAAATCAATTGAAGTTGAATCAAAAAGAGCTCCTATCATTCTAATTAGGTGGGTTTCGGATAAAAAAAATCCTCATCAGACAGCTGGAAATGAATTTAATTAACTTTGCATAAAGAATAAATGACTTAAATATGATTAAATTGACTTATCTTTTATAAAACTGTATTTGTTCAATACACAGGTTTGCTTACAAAACAAAAGTTCACAATTATGTGGCCTACTGTCCTATAAAAAAGTGTAATTTTTTTATAAGCAGAGTTTATGGGAGAGTTGAGGGAAGGGGGTCACTTTCAATTTCGAGTGATTTCTAGTGGTATTAATCAATTATTCATATTTTACATTTTGTATGCCCTCATCATTCATGGTTTAAGGTAAATAATTTTGTCTTCCCGAATTTGACCTTAACCCATGAAAAAAGGGCATACAAACTGTGATTTCTAGCAATAACACTGTATATGTGCAACTAATATTTCTAATATCATTGTACAACCACTGTATTATCCAAAGTACTGTCTTTGCAGATTCATTGGTAAATCGAATTTTACCGATTATTTTTGCTATAAATGCAAGGTTCAAAATAGTAATGTTGGTCTACTACGAATGTGTTTACTGTGATACAAATTTAAACATGTACATACTCTATTTCAAGACATTTTCAAGAGTTTGGACATTTTCGGATTGAATTTCTGGGCAATTGTTTGTTTTAAGAAATAATTGGGAGGAGGGGGTGTGTAGGGGACCAGAATTATCAAAGAGGGCTCACAGCACCAATCATTTAGGACAATTCGTAAGAGCTTGACATTGTGAAGATGCAGAGCAACGTCTCGACCCGCATTGACAATGGCTAACTTCATGTTGGTGGCACTTTATTTAAGTACAAAAAAATCCGATTGAATAAAAGAATGACTGTATGAATGACTGGAAAATGAAATGACAACAATTAGGAAGAATGAGTTAAGCACGCTTCGGACTATGAACGAAGAAGTACACAATGTTTCGGATTATGCTTTCGTGAAATTGAAAATATTACTGAATTTATTATAATAGTTCATAATTCAAGAGAAATTTTATTAGACAAAAGTCTCAAAAAGGTTGAGAGATGTTTTCAATATCTTACCGTTATTAAAACTGCTTTTCTAACGTCAAATACACAGAATTCGTTCTGTAACAAAATGAAATTCACATCACCTTCTCCATCTGGCACGTGCAGCATTGATCTAATTCTAAAGAATCAACAGGTGGTCAAAGGGGTAAAATTTTAATAACAATGTAATCCGTAATCAAGACTAATATTGTGTGTCGTTCATTATCTAAGTCATTTTGTAGTCAAC